TCTCTCTCTCTCTCTCTCTCTCTCTCTCTCTCTGTGTGTGTGTGTGTGTGTGTGTATGTGTGTGTGTGTGTGTATGTGTGTGTGTGTGTGTTGGAATGAAACAAAAGATGACAGGAATGGAATATTTTTGGAAAGGATATTGCTGGTTGGCTGGAATACCACAACTGAACTGGAGCACCACAACTTTCCACATTTTGTTGCAGGTCCTACTTGTAAAGATTACATTTTGTTTTTGTTTCTAGGCCATAGAGATTCAGGGGGTGAAAATATTCCAGTGCTGTGCCTCCATTTCGTATGCAAATATGAAACATTTCAAAGCCTTTATTTTGCATAAGGTAAATGACAATGACCAAAAAATTCAAAACTGTTGCCCTCATATCAACAGTTGCCTTGCCTTTCATAAACAACTTCTCTTTCTGTTTCAGATGGATATGAAAGCAGTACCACTTGATGAGCAGGAAATGAGAGAGCTGATCTCAGTCAGCATGTCTAGTGTTAAAGGACAGAACAAGGATTTTAATTTTGCTTGTGTTTGCGACCCCCCAGAACCATTACCCAGGGTCAGAGATTTCTTTTGTGTTTTTATTATCTGTTCAGATTTTACCAAATGTTTTAGACAGAGATCACTGAATTATTCCACTTTCCTTAAATGTAAACCATACAGTTAAAGCCCACAGTTACTGGCTTATACATGTACGTACATAGAATTGGATAATCCATATGTTCCATATAGTACTATATATAAATTAAACATTACATTTCAGGAACATGCAAGTGAAGAACAATGGTTCATATCATAAACAAATCAACGGTGGTCCACAGGACTCCTGATACCCCCCCCCATGACAAATCACACCCCCAGTGGCTTCAGGTGACATGACTTGCCAATACTTTGAAGTACAGATGAGAACAAATCAGTAAAATGGTGATTTGTTTTAATTCATGGTTTGTCAAAGTCAATGAATCACAAATAATGAATTTACAATTTTTTCTGATGAATTGATTTGTCAATTTATTTTTGCCATTAATCCCCTATAAAATGCCCCCCAGCTCTTAAAGACACCAAAATTGCTGAGAAGCTCCCCTGATTCTCCTGTACAATCCCTCCAAGTTTGGTGAAGATTTCAGATGTCCAAGTTATACACCCACCAAGTGGATCCCTAGATTCTGGGGAAGGGAAGACCTCTGACTCATCAGAGTTGCCCATCTGCGTCTTATGCCTTCTACATTGTAGGACAAAGTATGGTTGAGTTCATGGCCTTTGACACTTGTTCCTTTGCTGTGGCTGTGAGAGCTGGTCCCACCACATGACAAAATAAAAGAAGTTCTGGACATTGATACCACACACAAAAAGGAATAGATAGTGGAGCTGTCTTGTGGAATAAAATCTGTCTCTACCTACCAGTTGCTGGGACAATTGGTGATATGACAGTAATGTCCTTCCTGTAGGCTTCTCATGGGACACTGGACCCATCAAGCAAAGCAGAACGCTTTGCTTGATGGGACTTTGGTCTGATTCAGGAGAACTCTTTTTATGTGCTTATGCCTTTGTTCTCTTGTGCATCTTAATAAAACTTAAATGACTGGATTCACGAGTCTCCCAATCAATGCAGGCAAATACAGTATGTTTATTACTCTTGCTTTGAAACAGAAGGGCGATGTGCGAACAGATGCTATATAAATCCATCTTGGTGTTCAAAGTTATTTTTTACTCCACCACTGAATCATTATTAGTGCTGGCAGTCATTCAGTTATACATAGGATATATTTTCAGCATAACTGTTTTGGGTTATTAAGATATGTTAGCACAAAATCGCGGAAATCCAGTAGAATCAGCAGAGTAATGTCCAGTCCAGGCGGTCCAAATAAATCACACACAAACAAGCAGCTTCTCCCAACACCAATTGTGTATTTGAAGTATATATACAGCAGTGCAGTCTAGCAGCATAACAAGATAGCATTCATCCCAGAACAGGAAGATACATCTACTGTACAGGCTTACACATATATACTTATGCACATCTGCCTGTGGCCAATCACATTAGACATTACATCATGTATGAGTCAGCACTCATGAGTCATCATGACTCAGCATTACTACATACCGGTTCATCATGGCCGCTCATTAATATACCTTGTTCTGCTCAGCCTTGGAAATTACTCTTGACACCCCTCCTAATTTACGTCTGAACAGAGCATATACCCAATTCTTCAGTTATTTCCTTATGTTTTTGTATACTCAGGGGTTTTGTCAAAATGTCAGCTATATTTCTCTCTGTTTTGCAATTTTGCAACTCAATTAACTTTTCCTTTATTGCTTTCCTGACATTATGATACTTTATATCAATGTGCTTACTTCTGTTCCACATCTTCTCATATGAATGCATGTATTGTCTTCATATACCTTTATGGCCTGATCCACTACAACTTTTAAATCTGTGATTAACTGTCTGTACCACACAATTTCTGGGCAAAGTTCTGATAAGGCTGCAAATTCTGCTTCAGCTGTTGATGTGGTGATGGAACTCTGTTTCCTTGACTTCCAAACCCAGACACTGATTTTCTGTCTGTTGTATCATTTGCCCAATCATTATCTACATGGGCTTTTAACTTTAATTCATTTGAGGGTTTTATGACTAGACACTTGTTAAGTGTTCCTTTTAAATATCTGAACACCCTTTTTACTCTTTTGCCAGTGTTTTAGTGTAGGTTTAGACACATGTCTACTCAGGATGTTCACCACTGCAGCAATGTCTGGTCTTGTCCAATTTGCAAGATACATCAGACTTCCTATTGCTGATTGGTAAATTTCCTGATTTTCAAACTCCTTACTTTCAGTTTCTGACTTCTGAAAGTCCATTATCATAGAAGTTTGAACACTTTTACATTCTTGCATGCTATACTTTGCCAGCATTTGTTCTATTTTCACTTTTTGACCTAGCACAAAACCTTTGTCTTGTTTCTGAATTTGCACCCCCAGGTAATTTTGTATTGGGCCTAGGTTCTTCAATTTGAATTCCTTTTTCAACTGCCTTCCAAATAAATCTATTTGGCTTCGATCCTTGGACATAAAGCATATGTCATCTACATAGGCTAACAAAATGTTTAGCTCTTTTCCGTATTCTTTTACATATAAACATGGATCTGCCAAACTGTTTCTATATTTTAACCTTTCCAATGCTGAATGCAAACACTGATTCCAATGTCTCACCAACTGTTTCAATCCATAAATAGCTTTGTTTAATCTGTATACCACTCCTGGTTCAGAGCTTTCAAAACCAGGAGCCTGCGCCATGTATAACTCTTCCTGTAACTCTGCATTTAAATAAGCAGTTGTAATGTCAAAGTGGTTTACTATGTAGTTTCTGGAAGCAGCCGAAGTTAAAGCCAACCTCATTGTTTCTGCTTTTATCGTTGGCAAAAATATCTTATCATAATACATGTTTTTCTTTTGTATGTACCCTTGAGCCACTAATCTTCTTTTGTACCTGTAATCCCCATTGTTTTGCAATTTTCTTTTATAGACTCATTTGCTACCAATTACCTTATGTTCTGGTGGCAAACTTTGTCTCTATGAACACTCCATGCTCATCCATGGACTTTAATTCCTCTTTCATGGCCTGTTGCCATTTCTTTCTTTCTGTTTCTGGAAGAAGCATCACTTACTCAAAATTCTTGGGCTCTTGGCATACTTTTATTTCCCCTACACCAAACCTTGTTGGAGGGATTCCCTTATTAGCCCTTTCAGACCTTCTGGGGATTTGTGGCTCTTCTTTAATTACAGGCTGACTCACTATCTGACTACAATGTCCATCCTCCTCCTCTTCTGAGGTGTGTTGGCTTGTACTTTCTTCAGTCTCTTCCTTTGGCTCTATCTCATTTCCCTGACTTTTCTCTCTTATGGGAATGTATACTTGGGAATTTGTGTGTACCTTGTCCCAGTTCCCATGCTCACAAAAAATTGCTGACCTGGAGATTACTACATTTTTGTTTCCATCCAGGAAACAATATGCTTTGGATCCTCTTTCACTGTCCAAGAACCTCATTTTCTTAGCTTTTTGTCTCCCTTTTCTTCTGGTTTCTTTTGGTAAGTGCACCCAGGCACTATACCCAAACACCCTCATATGTTGTAAAGAAGGCTCTTTCCTGTACAACATATAATATGGGGTTTGTTCTATAGCTGAAGAAAACAGTCTGTTTACAATATAATTCGAGGTCAAAGGAGCATTACCCCAATGCTGATGACTTATATTAGCATCTGCTAATACAGCATCCTTCATTGTTTGCAGAACTCCATTCCTACACTCTGCAACCCCATTTTGGAAATGTGAATATGAGTTGGTCTTCCTGTGAAATATTCCAGTGTTATTTAACCATGTTTGGAAATTTCCTGACATGAATTCAGATCCTCTGTCTGTCTGAATTTGAGCCACTTTCCAGTCATAACGTTTTTCCACAAATTACACCCAATTTCTGAAATGGTTGAACACCTCTGCTTTGCTTTTCATCAAATAGCAGAAAGAATAGCGTGTATAGTCATCTACAATTACTAGAACATACTTTGCTCCTCCCATAGGTGGCACAAAAGGCCCAATTATTTCAGCATGAACTAATTGAAATGGCCTTTGTGTCTGACTGTTATGTTCTTTGCTTTTTGGACTTTCTTTTGATTTTGCAAGTTTACACACATTGCAGTCTAAATAATTTTTACAAGGCTTCATTTTTGCACCTTTAGCCAAGCTTTCCATTTTCTGAGTCACTCTAAAATTTGCATGACCAAGGCTTCTATGCAACAAGTGGGCACACTGATCACGTTGAGGTGTGTTCCTAATCATGGCATGTTTCACAGTGTTCTGTGTTTTACCTTTTAACACATATAAATTATTTTCTAGCTTTGCTGAGGCACATATTTTGTTTCCTTTCTTAATTGCACAAGTGTTATCAGCAAATGACACTGAATAACCTTCTTTATCAAGGCTAGACACACTTAGGATATTACAATCCAGTTTTGTAACTAGTAAAACACCTCTAAGTTCCCTTTTCAAACCTGGTACAAATAGAGCCCCTTCTCCAGTGACGGCAGACTTCTCTCCATTTGCTAAGCTCACGAAGCTGTGCTCCGAGGCTCCTAGAAAAGAAAATAAATCTTTTTTGTTAGTTAGATGGCACACAGCTCCACTGCCTAGTATCCAGCTGGTGACCTTGGCTTTATCAGCAGCCTGTACAAGAGAAATCCTCCCTTGTTTCTTTCTTTTGCTTCTGCGGCCAGCTTCTCTGCAGTCTCTCTGTAAATGCTTTTCAGAATCACATTTAAAACAGCATCTTACAGTCATAGATTTCTGCTCTCCTTCACATCTGGAAGCAGCTCTTCTCCACTGTGGGCTGATTTTTTTTCATTTCTGCTGCAGGCTGTCATTCCTCCCTTTATTTTCATATCTTTCACTTCTCCGTTGCTCCTTCTCCAGCAGTCTACCTGTTAGGTACTCAATGGTTAAATCATCTTCTGGCATGGACTCCAGACTAGTCACCAGCACAGCAAAGTCCTCTGGGAGACTGCTCAAGATTACATACACTTCGTGGCTTTCTATAAACACCATGCCTCTTTGCTGAAGCTCTATAAACAGGTTTTTCATATTCTGTAAATGCTCAGACATGCTTCCATCACATTCAAGTCTGGCTCTATACAGTTTTCTGGTCAAAGACATCTTTGTTCCTGCTGTATTTCTGACATAAATTAATCTCACAGCCTGCCAGCATTCACTAGCCAAGGTCAGTCCACGCACATGGATTAACTGGCTGTCCTCCAGGCATAGAATTATCATGGTTAAAGCCCTCTCATTTAGCCTTTCTTCTTCTTGATCAAGCATGGCCAGGGGATTGTCAACAATCTGCCACAGGTCCTCCCTTCTTAACAACATTTCGGCTTTAACCGCCTATGTCTCATAATTCTTTTCATTCAGCCTTGTTAAGGGAAAGCCTCCCATTCCTACTGCCCTGAATGACTGAATGCTGCTGCCTTTTCTCTTGGTCCTCCATTTTCTTTCCCCTCTTAGGCTCTCAATGGCAGAACTCTCACCTCCCTGGACTTCTTCCATATGCCTCTAAAGCACCCTCTGGTACTCACCAGCTTCCTTGGTGCAAAGTAGGCATCACAGGGTGCATTGCTGGGCCCATAACCCCTTATTAGTGCAAAATCACAGAAATCCAGTAGAATCAGCAGAGTAATGTCCAGTCTAGGAGGTACAAATAAATCACACACACACAGGCAGCTTCTCCCAACACCAACTGTGTATTTGCAGGGTATATACAGCAGTGCAGTCAATACGTAATCTGATTTCAGGTGATACTATATTATGTCATTTTGTTAAGATGCCTATTTGCCTTAAAAGTTATGAGCTCATTTTGTGCAACACTGGTACCAGAGCACAGTCCAATCCTAGGCACATTTATTCAGAAGTGAGTCCCACTAAGCCTAATCAGACTTCCTTTATAGTGTGTAGAACTATGATTGCATCATGGCTTCAGAATGTCAGAAGTCTTGAGTTCATGAGGATTCTGGGTGTATAAAGTAACCAGAGTCTGCTTAGATTTTTTAAAAAACATCTAAGTATCCATATATGTTAAAGACAGTTTTGTCTAAAGTTTTGATAAAAGACAGATATATGAAAAACAGTATCATCCTACTCTGATCCAGCATCTCTTGCATTTTAGGTTCCTTATACAGAGAAACTTATAAGGCGAAATCATACAGCTGATGAGTCATTCTCTTCTTCTTCTTTGGCCTTGGTACGTTGGACAAGATATGAGAATAGACACCCCTCTGATGCTCAGTACTTCCCAAATATCATAGAAAGGGCAACAGAGCATGAATATGTAGAGAGGAAAGAAGATCTGAACAAATTTTGGTCTTGCTCAGACCCTCCTTTAACAAGATCCACAACTCAATTATACCCACTCGATTCACAGTCTGCAACATGCATGATCCATACCATTATTTTAGACTTCAGCATGGTGCACTTCGTTGACTTACAAGCATCCAATTTATTACGGGAGGTAAGTCACCTACACGAATGCATCTCAGTTAATTTTATTATTCTAGAGTATTTATTTTCTATCATCATCACTATTGATATGTTTAATAAAATCTGAGACATAACTCTGTTTAGCAGTTTTATACAAAGAAATAAGCAAGGGCACATGCAAGTAACATAGCATAAATAAGTCTCTGAAGAAACTGAAAGACTTCAGGCAGCTTGTTTCTCACTAACCACAATTATTTCTTTTGCTAGCATCTTCTTTGAGTCAAACTGCTTTTGCAATGAACATAGGACAAGTAATTTGACCTTTTTTGTTGATTGTGCAAGAAGAAATCTGGAAGCTCCTCACTTGTGTATCCACATCACTTGCAGAAGTGCAAGATCTCATATTGCCATGCCAGAAGGACTTTAATATAGTAATAGTCTCCCTTTTCCCAAGCAAACAGTTCAATCCAATTATTAATTGTCCTCTTTTCCAAGATGTTGCATAGGCAATAATGCAATGTCTTGAAAAACCAATAATGCATAGGATGGCTGGATAGCTCTTTGAATTGGGTAGATTGGGAATTTGATTTCTCACTGAATCTTCTGGGAGAAAAGCCAGCTTGCATTCCCTTGGACAAATTACACAGCCTCAGAACACCACAATTTTAGAGTATTTTATACCTAGAAAACCAGGAGAGGGTCACCATAAGTCAAAACTGACTTCACCACTTGTAATTATTATTAACACGTTTTTAAAATGCTGAAACGTCTTCTCCAATTAATTGGTTACTATTTGCAAAACATGGGAAACCCTGAGTCACACACAGGTTCCTGGCCATATCTAAATACTGTAGTAACAAATCTTGCAACTGTAAGTAACAGATCTATTAAAGGAGTGCTGAGTATATATCCCTACACTGTAATCCTGTGAGCTCTAACTAGAACCTTCTTAGATTTGCATGGGGATGCAGTGGGTCATTCACAAAATTTTCAATGAGTCCTTTCAGCAATAACTAAAGAATAAGCATAGAGACTTTGTCACACTATACAGGAGATACTGAAATCTATTTACCAGAAGAAATAATCTTAGATTTTCTCAAAATTTAAGTTTAGATATGGAAAATTATCTCATTCATGATTTTATAATAAAAAAGAATAAAGAAATGTATGACCTTTCACTAGGCACATATAAATCAATCACATTTTACTGGGCTTCAGCTCTCTATCTAAAAGGAAAGGTGATTCAGCATTATGTCCTAAATTCTGGATATAATTCTAGCAGATAATGGTTTGTGATTTTGCAAACGTTCTGACTGAGGAAGAAGAAGAAGAAACATTTTACTATATTATATTACACCACGTTAGAGAGAAAGAGAGAGAATGTGGATTTGAATGGTAATAATATTAAAATACTGGCTTTATTTTACAGCTCTGTCACGTGTTTCAGAATATTGGTATCACAATTCTGATTGCTGCATGTCATCGTAAGTACAATACTATTTAGTTACTTTAGATATTGTTTCTATTCATAGCATCAAGGTAAACGCCATTCTTTTAATCATGATGCTGCATGTACCTCTTTCTGCATTTTTCTCTTGCAGCCACTGTAATACGAACTTTTGAAAAGACAGATTTTTTTGACCAGTGTTTTACTAAAGCACGCTTTTTTCCAACACTACATGATGCAGTACTCTTTGCTGTAGAACAGAAACTCTTGGGAGAGACTGTACCTGTTCAGACCAACAATATACTGCCTGAGGAAGTGTTCGCTGAGATGTATTTAGAAGACCAAAAGGTATACTATATGATTCCAAATCCATAATTAAGATACAGTACTTGTTTTACAACAGTAAATCAGCAGAAGCAGCTTAACAAATTATTTAAATATTTGATTTTACTGGCTTTTCCCTTTCAGATCAGAGGTGGGGGACCTTGGGTGCTCCACTCCATGTTCAACCAGTTTATTTGCTTTTCTCCCACCCTGAATCTCACAAGAGATGTCCAGTGGTGTCGAGATTATGGCTGGGACAGAAAATTCCTCAGAACCCTCTGAGCTACACTACTCTGGTGTAGGTAAATTTCAGAAGGGTTAATGTGCTGATGGCTGGAAGAAATATTCCTGTCTTGTACCCTCTCCCAACACTCTTGGTCAGCCTGACTCCTCAGTGCCTCAGGGAGTTATCAAAATTCACAAGGTTTTTAACTTGTACACCAAGCTTGCCAGGCAGAAATACCAAAATACTCACAAAATGTAGAGGATCCAGTAGGGGCACAAAGTAAGGCCATTCTTTAGTACCAGCAAACCCTCTTCTCCTCAGAGTAACCGAACTACTGTAAGATTTTTTAAAATTGTTTTTTAAAAGATGTTGCAAAAAGGATTTTGGTCTTTGTCAGCTTGAATAATTGCCTGCTTAATGGTTGACTGATAGACTGGAAAGAATGACTTCATCCTTTATTTTGACTTTATTTATTCAATACACTTAGCACATATTTAGAACAGTGTTACCCTGAGTGGTGAAAAATGTATGATTGCCATAGTATTATGCTTTTTGTCACATTTTGAATTTAGCCACACTTTGTTTGTGATTGGTTGTAGGAAGATTTCAATTCAGTGTGGAGCCAGACATTGTATGTTTGATTCTCCAGTGTTCCTTGCTTTGGGCAAGCAACACAGGCCCAGAGCATCCACAGGAGAAGGGAATAGCAAATCATGTCTGAGTGTTTGATTTCTACAAAAACCTGGAAAAGTTCACCTAAGTTGGAGTCAACTTGATAAGACATAATGGCTAAAATTCCACTGCATAGCTATGCAGACAGACACCTGCAATGCCAAAGCAGAAATGCTATCCATAAAGGACTTCTAGCAGCATATTATACATTCTGTCAAATGAGAACCACATTATAGATTGCGTAAACACCTTGCACATTCCTTAGTGCAGGGTGGAGCGCACACACAACTGCACAATTATGATGGCATAGTGATTTAGATGTCTGGCTGTGGAGCCAGAGGATGAGAGTTCAATTTCCCACTGGCCTCCTGGGAGAAGAGTTAGCCTATGTGGCCTTGAGCAAGGTGCACAGTCCCATGGAGCCCCAAGAAGAAAGAAATGGCAAACCACTTCTCAGTACTCAACACCTAGAAAACCCTCAAAACATTTGCAATAAACTGGAGTCAATTTGATGGCACTCAATTATTATTAACTTTACTTTACAACATCATGAACTGGATTCCGGCCAGTGATTATTATTCACTGGAAGATAACAATGTGCTTCCTTTGCAAGTCTATTGAGACATTAACTTCTGAGAAATGTCCATTGCTGAAGAACAGACATATCACATGCTAGAAATATTTGTTTAACTTCCTGTCCAGTTTAGCTCTTTGGTCTGTTCTGGATCTGTGCATCCTACAGGGGCTTGTATGTATGTGTAGTCCCTTTCTGATAACCATAGATGGATTTATGTAAGCATGGACATTGTACACGCTTGTGTCTTCCAGGATAGAAGGAGCCAACAGTCAGGAAGAAGTCAGCAGTCGGGCCGGAGAAGTCTACAGCTAAATGGGATCAGAGATACTACTTTAGTTAAAACAGACCAGAATGAAACTTATATTGATGAGCCTATATCAGATCTTTTCCGCGCATCTTCTCTCCAAAATGACACAGAGACGGTGCCTCACCACCATCTGGAAGCACCTGGCCTTGAGGAAAATGAAGATGAGAACAATTGGGAAGCGAAATGGAAATATACTAGTGATGTATAAATTATAAGAGCTATTGTTATAACCTGCATAAAAAGTGAGACAGATGTGATCAACCTGAAGCAGTTCCTATTTGCATATTTCTGCTTTTGACATTTACATTAATGCTGTTAAAATACATAACCATTATTTTGTTGACTTTACTGAGAGAAATGCTGCAGACTTTATAGGACTAGTCAGAAATACATGCAATACAGAAAACCCCTTTTTTAGAAATTATAGACTTTTGATTAGAATTGGTTCTAAAACTTGAGAATACTTAAAAGTTGCTTAACTTTCAAAGCTTTAATTTCCTTTTTAATGTTTTTTTCCTGCTTTTCCCCATCTTCAAAGTCACTCTCCTTTCCTGAGGCATCACATCCTAGATTGCTCTGTCTCAGGCAGCAAAATATCTTGGTCTGGCCCTTTGTAGGAAATTCTGTCTTTTAAACATAGCAGGCAAAATCCTGTTATGTAAAGTTACAACAGTGTAAACAAAACCCAGTGCTGGAAATAATTCATTTAAATAAATCAAAAGCTTCACATCCCCCTTGTTTTAGGCCCTGAGGCTTCCTATGGCTACCTTTTGTCTTGGGGAAGCCTTTGGGAGTCTCAGGACAAGGGGAGCCCTTTATGGTCAGAAATTGGTACCAGATTGTTAGTGGCAGTCCTGATCCCAGCAGCAGTGATTTGACCCCAAGGTTTGACCCCACCATCCTGAAGTTCCCAAAGGCTTCCCTAGGGGAAAAGGGAGCTCTTGGGTACTTGAAACAAGGGGATAGGAAGTATGCTGGTGTAACTTTGTGCCCAATGAATTTCTTTTGCCTCTTTTTTGTTGTTGTGCCCATGTAAGTGCTACTCTCCTAATATCATCAGCAAATAATTTAAGAGGTTTGACTATGTGAGTACTGTATTCAAATGTTTTACAGTTGTAAAACTTGATCAGTGTGAGAGGCTATCACAAAAGGTGATGAGTGTGCCTGCATGGGCTAAGTGTACATCTTCTCTAGAAAGAAGACTAGCAGATTTTTATGGTTGAGTCACTTACAATTGTCCCTTAATATGATACATAGGGCTTTAGAAAAATGTAAGCTACTGGCACCTAAAGCTACATCACTGGGAAGATTCATATGGACCAGCCAGGTTCAGCATCCAACTTTGGCAAATCTTCCATACCTACATACATCTGAAAAACATCCCTTCAAAACTTTCAGTTAATTTACCAGTAAATTGCTGGTAATGTTTTGATGAGTTGAAACACATCGTCTCTTTGACAAAAAAAAAGGAGAATCTTGTTCATGGATTAAGAAGGAAAAATGAATCAACAGTAAGATGTGAAAAATGTAAAAAGATGTATATAGCCCATATTGTAGTCCATATTGCTAGCCCATATTGTAGTCCAGCTGCAACACAAACATTTTTTGAGGTACCAAGGCCTAACCAAGGATTCCCTTCCCTACACAAAGCACTTCTCTATTTTTGCACTGTCACTCACCATATATTTGCATTGGCTTAAATATTCAGATATATAGCATCTAAGAATGGGTATCCAGTGTGTTTCATTTTGAAATGAAAAAAGAAGCCAATTCTTTTTCAAATGTGGCATGTCTCTTCAATATGCTCATGTCTGTTTGTTTTTGAGTTCTATGTTTCATATTCAAATTTTGTGTTTGCCACTATTCCAACTTTTCACAACAGAAGCACTGTTTTTGTTTGTCCTGGAATCTAAGAGAAATTCAGAAATACTTAAAATGACCTCAGGATCCCATTTTATTCTGTTTCAGTCAATGAAAACTACCCATTCCTTTCACAAGTGGTTATAATCAGACAGTTCATGTTCTGAGTAAATCACAATAATGCAGTTACTATGCAGAAAATAGACGTATAATTTCACGTAAAAACATAGATTACTGTATTATTCTTTTAATATTATACTGGCATAACCCTTCTTGAAAGCTGTTTGAGAATTATCTAACCCATGCAAAAGGAGCTCTGTCAGAGAATCTGGCCAAGTTTGGGAAAGGGGGGACCTCATTGCTGAGATAGAGGAAAATTTTTCCCCAAACTGCTGTAACACAGATATGTACAGCTGTGTTCGTTTTCCTTCATTTCCATCCAAAGAAATCCAGAGTCGGCTGCAGCAGGCTTTCTTAAACAAATTACTGGAGACTACATCTCCTGCCACCCATAACGTAGTACAGTACTTGGACTTTGGCTTCAGTTGACACTTCTCTGTATGTGATTCTTTGTGTGTGTGTTTCCTGAGTGTGCCGCTAAATGTATTCTCCAGGTTTTGTGATATGCCATCTCCTTCAATACTAGGCAGTGGAGGATTTCACAAAGTGACTGCCATTTTTTCATACCCATCTGGAGGAAAAACAGCTGACCATTCATGCCCTGACTGATAATGCCAACACAGCTCTAATAGATGTTTCAAGTTTGCAGTCTCCATCTTGGAATTTTAGTTGACTTACAGATCCTGAAGCTTCAATTTCTAGCCAGGATGTTTTTCAGTTTTTTCTCTCTCCTGGTCTCCCATCCCCTAACATCCCCAACTGCAAAATTCTGCAATACCCAGCCTGAGGAAGAGTTCCACAAGACTTGAAAATGCAACTGTTTATGGTACTTTAGAAGTCCAACAAAGGGATCACTTACTCTTGGGGGGGGGGTGGATTTTACATTTCAGCAAAAATATTGCCAACCATTCTTCTCTGTCCTAGCTTAAACAACAGTGCTGTTCAGAGATGATGAGGAACCTTATCTGAATGGTTAGAAGTTCCCACTTTTGTTGCTGCTAGAAGCATCCATTCTGTCAGCAGAACTCAACTCATAAGATCCTGGAATATGACTCAATGGAGGGAATCCTTGTTCTTCCATAAGGTCCATTTAAGTGGCCTTGGTTATCTGCAGCTTATTGATGAAGTGTGGAACATATCTTGAATGTACAATCAGGTGCATGATCGGGTACACAAAGAAGATACACCCTAACACCCTGGCATTTAGCCACAATTTGTCACTACAAGTTACACGAAATTTACACAAACATCTATAGGATTTTGGCAGGGCCTGGATTTTCAGGAATAGAGGAGTGAGGGAATTGTTTCAGTTCAAGAGATGACTCATGCAGAAATGTGCTGTTTTCCCAGCATAATGACTGCTAGCTGTAACTACACAAAGACTAAAGCCAAGCAACCTCTTCAGTTTTTTTTGTTCCCAAATGATACTGATAATAATGTTCATGATGAAAGAGAGCTACTAGCAAGGTTTCTTTATGAAAATTCTGTTTTCAGAGAGATTATCTCTCTAGACATCCTATCCAGCTTTTTAAATCACCACAATCTATCAGTGGCTGGAATTTTGCTGGCGCAGCTCCACCCATGTAAGGCTGATGACATCATTACTTGTGGCCTTCTATCTTTAATTAAAACTTTCCCTTTTCTCTTCACCTCAGATTCTGAGGCTCCCTAGCAAAGCCTTTGAAGTCATCAGGATAGGGAGGAGCCTTTAATGTCCCAAAATCTCTTCCACTGTACCACTGATAGAATTGAGACAGGTGACAGGGGTGATTTGTGAACATTAAAGGCCCACAAATATGTTCCAAGCCCCCCAAAATCTTCCCTAGGTTAAAAGGGATCCCTAGAGAGACTTATAACTGGGGTGGGGGAGGAAACTTTGTTGTTGTTTAGTTGTTTAGTCGTGTCCGACTCTTCGTGACCCCATGGACCAGAGCACGCCAGGCCGTCCTGTCTTCCACTGCCTCCCGGAGCTGGGCCAAATTCATGTTGGTCGCTTCAATGATACTGTCCAACCATCTCATCCTCTGTTGTCCCTTTCTTCTCTTGCCGTCACACTTTCCCAACATCAGGGTCTTTTCTAGGGAGTCCTCTCTTCTCATGAGACAACTGGGGTGGGGGAGGAAACTTTAAAGTTTAAAGCCTGCAGCTGATGATATGAACTGGGGTGGGGGAGGAAACTTTAGTTAAAGTTTAAAGCCTGCAGCTGATGATATCATCAGACTTCCACATACAGAACTGCACTGACAAGATTCCAGCTAGAGATTTCAAATAAATATAACCTTGGTATTTGTTTCATGTTTCTTAAGAGAGAACACAATTGCCTTTTGGTTTACTCTGAATAATTACATATAAGAAAAAAAAAGAACTTACAGTATACTTGGGTTTGGGAGCTAACTCATCTTGACAAAAATTGTTCTCAATTGCATTTCCTTTTAGGAATGTAAGGAATTAAACAATAGTCCAAATCTTAATTAGACACACACACACACACACAAAAAAAAACAGTGTCTAAGTCACAATTCATCTTTTTTCTTCAGGATGATATTCCTCACAAGTTCAGTGACATAAGGTTTGATTTCTTCAATGAGGACATTAGAATCCCAAGCCTTTACCACCTTCCCTTTGGGATCTACAAGGTATTTCCAGAAGTTCCAGGTTGGCTCTTCACCAGTGGATTCTATGCAGAAAAATAAAGTACAGACAAGCCATGTTATGTGCAACGGCTACAGCAATGCAGTTCATTTCAAAATGCATATTAGATTTAAGGATTATTTTGACTTCTAAAATGATATTGCAAATTCAGAAACATAAAAATGGGGGTATATCAAACATTTTAGGAAAAGAAAAAAGTTTTAGCCCTTTTGTGTTCAGATCGCAATGCTGGTAAGTGGCAGATCAGTTTTATTGGCAACAACATGGGACAAATGGAACTGACAGGAAAATCCTGGAAAGGGCTAACAGTAGGGTATTTCTTCTTAAGTTTAATATTGCAGCAGCTTCCTGATGTGCTTGAAAATGGGCTTTATTGCATGAATAGACATACATATTTTATTTATAACTTTCAGCAAAATAAAAGCACATGCTATGTATTGATGTTCTGCGCAATATATTTTCAATATTAATATAATATAGACAGTTCTGCTCATTATTTACCATGACTCCCTTTATTCTTCTCTCCAAAGCAGTCTAGAGTAATCTGAACTGGTTGACCTCACTAAGTTCCATGAAATAACTTAGCCAGAAAGATAGGAACTTTTGTGAGGCCATTCAAGAGATAAATGAACGTGCATTTTCCACATGCAAATTTGTCACACAGTCGACTTCGTCACATTGGTACTTTTGTATGGACTGAGTGAGATGACTCAGTGACATAGAGTGCAACTAGATGGCAATTTATCCTGTGGTTTAGCCTGGGGATGGGCTGGTTCACTCCTCCTTTTTTTGGAACCACATGACATAACGGACTATCATGAACCAGCCCATCTCACATCAAAGTCTACCTGCACTTTTTTGGGGTCATATCAGGAGCTTTTTTAAAAAAAATGTGCAGAAAGGGCCCCTCTGTTTTAGTTTGGTTCCAGCATATGTGATCACCAGAACTGAACCAAAGTAGATGGCTTAAGCTGTCTGCTTAAGGTACTTCATGATCTTGGGAAACTGAAAGCTTCTTCCTGTTCTCCATTTGAGGAAGAGAGAGCAGAATTAAAAGTTTTGGCTTTTTTTAAAAACAAAAGACTTGTAAGGCAGTGATGATGTACTATGCCACTTGTATTTTTTAAAAATTGAAATTTTCTTCTTGCCTTCCCCATGGAGGAGAGATGCGGAGACAAGAAGGGGATTTTTTAAAAAGTCCTTCTTAAATTTCTGAATTTGGGCCAAACAGGATTGTTTGTAATGTGGTGTGGTTTTCTGCTCCGAACCCACTCGATACTTGCATATGGATGCAAGGGTTGTCCCAAATGACAGATGGCACCTCAAAGTGACCCTCTTTAACACTGTCTAGCCGGATCTAGCCCGGGATCATTTAATTGCCTAGCTTCATCCTTAATTTAAACATAAACTGTCATATTTTTGCCAGAGACCCTATGGGCATATTCCTCAATCTAGTTGGAGCAGAATAGTTGAGATGACTGAGGGCTTCTTTCAGTCTTTCTTGTTGTGCTCCAAGTGAACTAGACACAGGCTGAATTTCACCACCTTTGCAAAAACTGCATGAGCAGCGTCTGCAAAATTTTGAGTGGAACCTACAGAACATGAGGTGGCCCTCAAGATGTAACTCTCATCATCAGCATAGTCAGTGGGAAGGAAGGATGGGATCTGCAGCCTGCTATCACTGGGGAAGCCACTCTTTCACCATCCCTGTGGCAGGCAAGGCTTTCTTCACCTTTTCAGGCATCTAATCTATCTGGTATATTGGTTTGAATCATAAGGCAATTAAATCTAGGCTGAATTCCTATTGCCCTAATGCCAGAAAAGGGGGAGGGGAATTTAAAACAATCACAACAAATGCTACTGCTAAAATCCACTGCTTTTTCACTATTTGACCTTGAACACACATGAGAGCATTGGACTTAGATTAATGTAACTTAGTCTACCCTATTCCTATTTTGCAATGAGACTGCTGCCATCAGTCACCTAGAATTATCAGGCCCTAGCCTTTCAAAGTCAAGGGCAGATGCTTTAGTGTATCTGGTATACTCACTCACCAATTAAATACTTGAAAGCAGGATTGGCCCCAGTTCCTTTAACTGCAATTTTGCTGAACATAGGAAAAGTGACTCCATACATTTTTCTGGCAAAGCTCTCAATTTCTTTATTACTATTTGGTTCTTGCTGTCCAAACTGATTGCAAGGGAATGCCAACACATTAAAATGATGTGAGCCAAGTTCTCTCTGCAGTTTTTGCAAGGCTTTGTAGTGGCTGTCAGTGTACCCACACTCGCTTGCGACGTTGACAACTAAGGATACCTAAAGGAACAAAAATAACAAAAGCAGAGTTGAGAACTTACAGAGAATGTTGTTGTTAGCAGTCGCCTTGCTTTTAGCTGATAGATTATAAAATGAAAAGCAGTATCAAATAAAAATCATATTTGAACTTGAGGAATTAAAGCTATTCCAAATCTACACTAAAAGAGGAGAAAGAGCTCTCAACGTTACCAGTTTCATACCAGCTAGATACAAAAATAATTTTAATTTTTCAAATGTTGTATGATGCATACCATCAGAAAATACGATATGTATTTGTGTACACATTTCTGCAGTGTGTGTCTGAAATCTTGGGAGAAGTGTCACTAGTCAGACTTGATAATACTGGGCTAGATGGATAATGATCTTCACTATAAGGCAGCTTCCTACATTTCTGTTCTGGAGACCATTGTGATTGTGAGTCATTGAACTAAAAATTTTTATATTGTTATATGGTTTCATCTTTGGTGCTAAATAGATATGAGCCTGATTGATACCTGAATGAGAGGTCCACTTGCTTCTTAGAGACATACAAATTAACTGAAGACATGGAAAACCAAAGATAAGAATTATTAGCTGTAGTCTTAGCTGTAGCTATTGCAACAATATTTCTTGTGAACCAAGACCTCTTTACAGCAACAGCTTTTTGCACCATTTTGAAGCACCATGCCATTTCTTTATCTCATCTGGATGTAGTTAGGACTATTTGTGCTATCACAGAATAGATGCATCACTTGCCATACAGCATCATTGGGGAAATCCATGCTTGCCGTTCTTACTTAACCAAACAAAACATGACAGTTATGTCCAGAGACTGGACATTAAGGCTTTGCATAGAACTGAACAGACAATAAAGTGAAGAATTTATTTACCAAAAGCAGCACTCAGTCATCCAGATATCAAAATGTCCCATGGGGCTTGTATTTCTTAATATCACTTTTGATGTATTTAATGTTTAAAAGTGTAAAATGTTTCAATCAGAACTGAGGATAGGAGATTACTAGAACATGTTGGGCAGATCCAAATTCCCTCAGGAATTATCTGTTGGTGGTGGATGTGGTTGATGTCAATAAGGGGTGAAACCAGGGGCAAATGGGGGCCAGATCATGCCTTTTCTTTCTCACTCCCTAGTTTGTTTGTTGGTTTCTTTTTTGTACTGCCCCGTCATCCCTGCCAAGTAGATATCAGGAGAAATAAAATCCATATACAGTGGTGCCTCGCACAACGAGTGCACCGTAGAGCGATGAATTTGCTCTACGAGGCCGGTTTTGCGATCACAAATGCGATCGCACACCGATGCCTGCATAGGGCGAAAATCACAGAGCGAAGGTCGGTAAGCGGTTCGCTTACCGACCTTCGCTTTGCGACCCGCAATCAGCTGTTCGGCGGCTACAAAATGGCCACCGGAAGCCCCAAAATGGCCACGCACAGCATTTTTGCGCCCTCGTTAAGCGAGGTGAGGGCGCAAAAATGGCTGCTGGCCATTGCAAAACATCGCTGAACGGTGAGTAAATCAGCCGATAAACAAAGTTTAATGCGTTCCAATCGGCTGATTTACTCACCATATACATATGGATTTTATTCTATATATGGATTCTATATATGGATTTTATTTTATTATTTATATTATTTTATTTACATACCACCATGCCATTAGTGCACACATTATTCTTGGCAGTTTACAAATTAAAACTTACACATCTCAAAGACCCTGCATGGCAATATATATATAACAATATGGCAATTAAAGGGGAATATCATAAAACAAGAGAAGAAGAATTAAATATTAATGTTAACAGCAATCAGAAGTCTCGGTTCCCCCCTCACGAGCACAACACCCCCCATGCAAGTGTGCCATGTCCCCCCCAACTGGTCCATGGTTGGGAAAAGGTTGGGGACCACTGGTCTAGACAATTAACTTTTCTGAGTCTAGAAACAGATCTGCACTGATCAGGGTTTTGAAGTTAGGCCAAAGATTACATAAAATGAAACCAAGGACATCATGTTGTTCAACTGCTCTAGAATAATTGATTTGTTAAGGAAAGGATATTATCATTCACCATAAGTAAAGCAAGTGTTTTTCTATTTTTGTTAATGCACTCCAGGAAACCATGGTGTGAGAGACTCTGACTTTTGAACTATTGCTGGCTACTTTTACCTCCTTCTGCTTTCGAGCGAGGTGAGGAAGAAACACAGAACTTTTCTTTTTAAGCCACTGGCAGGCTTAACATTTTAAACACGTATTCAGATGCTCATCTACCACAGTGGGGTAGGGAACACATGGCTCTACATCTGTTGCTCAACTGCAGCTGCCATCATCTCTTGCCAGTAGGGTCAGTGCTGATGCCCAATGGGAAGTACAATCCAACGATGTTTGGAGAGCCACACGTTCTCCATCTCTGTTGTGACTGCTGACCAGTTCATGCTGCGATGCTTCTTTTCAGGCTGGTGTTAGGCTTGTGGTAATAGAAGCAGCAACAATAAATCGTATATGCTGCGATGCTTCTTTTCAGGGTGGTGTTGGCTTGTGGTAATAGAAGCAGCAACAATAAATAGTTTGCAAGGCAAAAATACCCCTTCCAACACTTTTGACTGCGTTGGGAATCACTGCTGGCTATGCACATCTTTGCTTTTGTTGTGGCTGAATGGCAATGGAAGCTACGATCTAACTAACATTTTCTTTTGTCAGGTGGCTCCTACCTGACATATGGCTAACAGCAGCATCCTATAGTCAAATGCACATAATTCCAGAAGCATGGGAAATCTCTGTCTGGATACTCCCTATTAAAATACTGTGCAAATAATTGCTCCACATTACAGATGGAGCCAGTTATTCTCAATTTAGTATACAATACCTAACAGAAATTTTGTAATAACGCAGCTTTCACACTTTTTTTCTCAAAAAAAGGGAGGGAACTATATGAGTTATATAGTTTCTGAACATGTTGGGGTTTATAAAGAAATATAAGTGTGGAAAGTGAAGTAGGTTTTGCATAAGCATTATGAGGTGTGTCCTATGCACATTTTTAAACTGTTCAAATAGACAATCTGTACTGAGCAATGCAGACATCCAGGGTGAAGAGAGAACTCCAAATGCTTCCTCCTTCAGATGGACTGTTCTCGCCCCTTAGAATCTTTAGGTGTTGGGATGAAGCTCAGGAGGGTGTTGGCCTCTGTCGACAGATAATAGCTATTGCAAAGATCGGCCACCAGCAGCATAGCTAGCACAGCACTGTGGTGAAGAAACTGAAACAAGTTTGCCATCTAGTGTGAGCTGCAAGCACCTTGCGCTTGGGTGTCAGGGAGATGCAGGAGGAAAGTTACAAATATACTAGGGTGAAATTAAAGCAGGTTAATTACGTGGGAATGTCAATATACTCAATATAAATAGAACTTTCTCATTTGTTTGAACTAGCAGAAATATTGTTGTGTTTTGAAACCTTTGTGCTTCGAACATTTATTGCCAAACTTTGAATTTTGGATTACCTGGATTATCTGCAGACAAGTGCAGGAAACAGAAGAAATGAATAAAGGGGGCCAGAGAAAGGACTAGATATTTAAAATTTACTGCGGATTATAATACTGTTATGAACAATAGTACAACTTAATAAAAAAAGAATTAGGTAAATGAAAGATGGTGTCTCAATGTTGTTTGTATGTATAATTTTAATTAAAAATAAAAATAAAACCAGTGTAAGTATGGCTTTCCCGGTTTGCGTTTCAGCCACATTTTCTTCAGCAGCTGCTTGCCAATATGTCTCTAAACTAGACCTCTGGATCAGAGAGATAGTGGCAGAGACACTGGCATGTTGTGCTAGGTATGTGTTAAAACGGAGAGCACAGAATTTTCATTGTAATGCGCTGCACCTTTCCAGATGCCCATTGGAATGAATTTAATGCATGCCATTTCCAAGGTTCTGGAATGCACACACTGAAATTTGCTGTACTGCAAAAGCAAAAAGAGTGATTGTAAAGGCCATCCACAAATAACCAGACAAAAGAATGGGATGCACATCCGTTTGTGCCTTGATTGCATTAGGCTGGGATGGATGCTGTACCTTGGTAGAACGTACGTTCTTTGCCCTGAGGAACTGGATGCAATAGCTGCTTACGAGAAGCCTATTTAAACAGGAGGATCAGAGTAGTGTTTATTACTGATAGATTGACGCATTATATGATACTTTATTTCTTACAAAAACTCAAATAGTCATGTCTACCGTCCTGTGCTTTCTGCGAGTTAATCTGTAATATTCTGTGTAGATATGAACAATCAGTGCATAGAATACCTCTATGGAGTGGTGTGCATGGGGATAAAGCCCACAGAAAGCTTATGTAATGAGATACATTTTATAAGTGTTACAATACTACTCCGTTTACTGTAGATTGATCCATGTAAACAGGATTTGATCAGCTTTCTTACCTACATTAATTTAGTATTTGTACGTAATTCCTCACATAGCTTCAGATAGGATGGTTTTTTTTTCCATATTGTTCTTAGACTCCTGGCTAGATGTTGTGTGTTCCATATGGTCCCAAAAATTTCTCCCGCACAAACCTAACAGGTCATCCACCAGAAATGAATTGTAGCCCACAGAAATGCATGTGTAATAAATCAGTTACTTTAAAAAATGCCACACGTGTACTTTTGCTGCAACTGAGTAACATGTGAGAAAATCCTCAGAATATGCTCTAGAACAGCATTGGCAATCTGTTGCCTTCTTTCCCCATCTCTTTATACTAACTGTCCTTAGCGTTAAATATTGTCTTTCAAGGATGCAAACCACTGTTGTATAGTCATTGTTTTCAGTTTTAAATATTGTATTTCAAGGAAGTAAGCCACCTTGGGTCCTTTTTAAGGAGAAAGGCAGGGTTAAAATGTTTTAAATAAATAAATAAAATAAATGTGATTAGAGCTTCTCTCATCACCAGCCAGTATGTATAGCCCTGCTAACTAGGGATGGTGGAATGTGATGAAAACTGGAAGAGACTGTTGGGAACACGCAATCAGTCTTCCACTGCGTCTTCTTCAGGTCACTTTGTGCATCTCATGGCTAGCATGGAAAGGAGGAGTACGAGTTTTACTTAGCTGCAAATATTACACACGACGTGGACCCGTCATGCTGAACTCCTGTGTATACTTACTGAGATTTCCCCCCATTTCGTTCTCAATCCAAATTAAACCAAAGTTGGTTTTGTTTGTTTGTTTTTGTTTGTTTGTTAGAACCGGGAATGAATGTCCACGCAATACAGACCCGTAAAAGCTTCCCTTAAAGACACCGCGTGGACACCCGCAACGTGGCTGCAGCCCGAAAGCGTGGAACGCGCGGCCGTCTGGCTCGCCTGCCACGTAGACGGCAGAAGATGTTCAGAAGAAAGAGACTCTCACACAAGCAGGGAAAGGACCCGGCTGCAAATGTTTTTAATAGAGCGACGCAAAGAGAGAACCGTAGACGCAAAGCCAGAGGGCACCCCATCGGTTCGTGCCCGTCTAAAAAGGCAGCCCTCCCTCCCCGCTCCGCCATGCAGGCATGCCGAGAGGGGACTTGCGGGTTAGTCGGGGCGGCTCAGCTCTTCTCCTCCTCCTCCGCAAACTTACCGAGCCTCTGTATTTCTCCAGGGAGACTAGCTTGCCCCGGATGTTGACCACTTTGAACGCATAAAAATTATCCTCTTTCTGCTCGGAGGCAGAAAACGCCAAGAAGAGGAACGCGCAAAGGAGGGTCAGCATGGCTAAGAGGATTAAGACAACTTTGCCGAGCGAAAAATCCGCCTTGTGCTCCACACTGCCCTCAGGGTCTATCATACTGCACGGTAATCCTGCCTTGACGTCCACCACCCTCGCAACGCCCTGCCGGAAAGAAAGGGCTGCTGCTGTAAAAAAAAAAGGGGGGGGAAGAATTGCAACAGTAGTTTTCCCCCCGCCCCCGTTAGCTGAAGCATCGTTCAAAACATAAAATAAAAATAAGCAATGCCACTCGGCTTTTGCGTGTGTGTAATCCGCCTGTTAAACCTCTGCTTTTGTTATTTATATAACTATTGCATTATTTAAAGCGTTTGTTCAAAAAAGGTTTCCACAGCGACGTACACAAGTTTGCATATTTTGTGCATTTACAGTTGATCCTAATAAAGGCCCACCTGTGGATTTTTTAATTTTTTTTTAAAATTTCCATAGATCAACGTTGCTTCTTTTTGCGTCTCCTTGTTTGGAAATGCTTTGCAAGAATTAGGGTGCAACTATATTAATTTAAAAAATGCAGGAAATGGTCAGGGACTGGGATGGGGTGATTCACATTTTTTTCCCATTGACCATATGACCAAAAGGAAATATGAATCAGTCGGGAATCCCACCCTCAATTTGCAGTTCTTGACTATGTTCTTGATAGCTCAACTTTTTAGAATCCCCGGGATCCGTTCATATTGACTCAGATAGTGTGATCACGTGAAACGATGCTGAAAGACCACCATGCCAGTACACACCCATGGCAACAAAGCCTCTCTTTGTGGACAAGACTTTTCTTTTTTAAAAAAAGGGTAATAAGAGGAGAAACCCTTTTTACAGTTTATTAGGTACATTGGTTCCTTGTAAATACTCCTCCTGCAGGGCTACCAGAGAGCTGCACACAAGGTTTTCCTCTTCTCATCTGGTTTGATCAGTTAATATTAACAGACCTAGGGAAAGTGGAATGTCCTGAGGTGCCTTCACAATGAGTTCGTTTCGTTCATTTAGTCGTTTAGTCGTGTCCGACTCTTCGTGACCCCATGGACCAGAGCACGCCAGGCCCTCCTATCTTCCACTGCCTCCCGGAGTTGGGCCAGATTCATGTTGGTTGCTTCGGTGACACTGTCCAACCATCTCATCCTCTGTCGTCCCCTTCTCCTCTTGCCTTCACACTTTCCCAACATCAGGGTCTTTTCCAGGGAGTCTTCTCTTCTCATGAGATAGCCAAAGTATTGGCGCCTCAGCTTCAGGATCTGTCCTTCCAGTGAGCACTCAGGGTTGATTTCCTTTAGAATTGATAGGTTTGTTCTCCTTGCAGTCCAGGGGACTCTCAAGAGCCTCCTCCAGCACCACAATTCAAAGGCATCAATTCTTCGGTGGTCAGCTTTCTTTATGGTCCAGCTCTCACTTCCATACATCACTACAGGGAAAACCATAGCTTTGACTATGCGGACCTTTGTCGGTAAGGTTATGTCTCTGCTTTTTAAGATGCTGTCAAGGTTTGTCATCGCTTTCCTCCCAAGAAGCAGGCATCTTTTAATTTTGTGGCTGCTGTCTCCATCTGCTCACAATGAGTGAACATGAGTAAATTTTCATTTCTTTTGTTTGCTGAGTAGTTTTATCACAATTTCTGCTTTCAGAATTACAATCTATATTTAAGATATGACACAAAAAGTTATGGAGAGAGAGAAGGAAATAAATTCAGATTACTGTACACTTCTTATAATTATACCAATAGAACTAGTTCAAGTCACAAAAACGGAATCTGTAAGAATTCTAACAAGAATGGACCAATAAATATGGAAGAGAAAACAATGGTCCTTGGACTGGATATGTTCAGTATATATTCCAGTCCTCAAGAAAGGATGCACCAAAGAGTGCAATAATTCTAACACGATTGTACTAATTTCCCATGCAAATAAAGTGATACTCTGGGTTTTGCAACAAATACTTTTACCACATATTGAGGAAGAAATAACCAGTGTTTCATTTACAACTTTGATATTTTAATTAAGACATTTAAATGGTTAAAGATTTTGTATACCTTGGTTCAATCATCATTATGACTGAGACTTGGGAGGGCAGATATGAAGGAACTAGAGAGGTTCATCAAGTGTAAGGATGTGTTACTGAAGATAAAGGTGAGCCTTATGTATACCATGGTATAATACAGTGTGGCAGTTTGTTACTAAACATTAAATACTGAGAAGAAAACAGGACAGTGAAAAAGGGTGACAGGAAAAAACGGATTCATTGGAATTGTGGAGGAGAGCTTTGTGGATACTATAGACAGCCAAAAAGATAAATAAGTGGATGCTAGATTTAATTAAGCCCGAAATCTCTCTGGAAGCCATAATAAGTAATGTGCATCTACTGTATCATACTTATGTCACACCATGAGAAAACTCAATGGAAAAGACAGTAATGCTGGGAAAAGCTGAATGCAACAGGAAAAGAGGAAGATCAAATAAGAAATAGATTCATTTAATAAAGAAGCTACTGCCATGAGTTTAGAAGGGCTGTTAATGACAGTACCTTTTGGAAGTCAGTATTTCATAGGGTTGCCATAAATGAAAAGACTTGGTGCCACATAACAACAAAATTACTAACTGGATGAAAATTATTCCAGCTGCTTGCTGAATCAGTTGCTGCTATGTTACATTTGAAGTTTGTAAGGGCTTGCTATGTAACCATTAAAAGATTTAAGGCTATCTTAGCAGGCCCTAACAGTGCTGAGCCATTACATGAACAGGGAGTGGAATTGCTACATTATCCATCAGGGTTTTATTTTTATGACTAGGATCCTTTTTATCATACATATTAAACCACATGCCATTTCCAGTTGAACTAAGGTTCTCCATAACATTAATTCCAAGCTTCCTTGTTAAACATTCAGCTTATTTTATTAGTCTAAACTAGCAATTAATTGTTAATACCCTATTGTTTGCCCTTGAATAACTTCTTTTGATTTTAAATTCCTGAGACACAGAAACTGTAAAGGTTGTATATATCTCACTTCCCCACCTCTCTATAGCTAAATGGCACTATTTTGTCATAAAAAGTGACAAATAATGCCTCCATGCCTCTTGTGGGAACAGAAACAGAGCAAAGGAGTCTGTTCAAAAGTCAATTAAGAAATAATTTATCAAATATACATTGATAAATTCACACATCAGGAAACAATAAAATTGCCTAAAACTGCAAAGAGAAGGAGTCCAATTAAAGGCCCAGGAATGTTTAAGAATTCTAACTGTTCTTTCCTAGTCCATGCTAAACAACCAAGTGCTACTGCTGCATTTTACTACAAAAAGTAGTAAACTATAAAATTGACAGATGAAGCTGGAAAGTACACAAGGGCTTAACACAAAAAACGTGAGATGCAACACAATGACTGTACCGGCAGGAATTCTGATACTGTGTTTCCCCGAAAATAAGACAGGGTCTTATATTAATTTTTGCTGCAAAAACCCATTAGGGCTTTTTTTCCAGGAGATGTTTTATTTTTTTTCATCTACAACAATCTACATTTTTTCAAATACAGTCATGTCATCTTCTTCTGGTTGCTGCACAACGCTGCACAGTTATGGAAGGCGGAGTTTCACTTAACTGGGACTTATTTTGGGGGTAGGGTTTATATTATGAGTATCCTAAAAATCATACTAGGGCTTATTTTCAGGTTAGGTCTTATTTTCAGGGAAACAGGGTTATGCTCCTATGAGATTTGTGTAACTTGTTGTCATGAATTGATGCAATACCAGGGTGCATTTGGATTGCACAACTGAGTACCAGGCATATGACCAAGACACATGCTAGAACCTTGTCAGTTAGCTAAGTTTTTTAAATACAGTGTTGCCTCGCTTGACGAGGATAATTCGTGCCATTGAAATACCTCATTGTAAAGCAAAGATCCTCCATAGGGTGGCCATTTTCCGGTGACTGTCTTGCGAAAAATGCCTCCTAAAAACAGCGGGGGGGGGGGCTGGCAGCCGTTTTGAAATCTGCCGATCAGCTGTGGAAAAAACATCATTTAGCGAAAAATCGGTTCCCAAAGCAGGGAACTGATCATCGCTAAGCGAAAAAAACCCATTCAAACATCGTTTTGCAATTGCTTTTGCGATCGCAAAAATCATCGTGAAGCGGATTCATCGTTAAACAGGGTAATCGTCAAGCAGGGCATGACTGTAGTCTGAAAAACTGAGAGAAAAAGATAGTATTTCCATAAAAAAAGGGATAGTGAGGAAGCACTGCAGCAGGTCATCCAGGGTCATCCTACCAGCATGTGCTGCCAGACGCTATTGCTGTACATTGCCTAATGGCAGCTCCAGGCCCAGTGGAGGCCACCGAATACACAATGCATCTACATGGTCATATACTGGGGGTTTGTTCTGCTTATAAAGCAGGTGAATTCAAAGTATTTTTAATGTCCACATGATATAAAGGGTGATTCAAACTGCATCTTTTTTCCTCTGCCACTTGGGGACTTCTACCCCTGAATGATTTTCCCATGCAGTTATTTGTGATATGTTTTTGTAAAGCGGATGTGGCATTCACCTTTATTATGTTAAATAAGTCATGCATTATTCATGTTTTATGCTGATATGGAGCCAATAAAGATGTTAAAAGGCGGAGCCAGGGAGGAGGAGTAGAGTACAGTCTGGATCTGAATTTGAAGGGAGAGAGAGAGTTAGTTTGGGAATCTGAGGAGTGATTAGTCTGAGGAGTGAATAGTAACCTGTAATATAATATAGAAGATTGTTATTGATGCTTGATGAAACTGAAGAAGATACTTATGAATTATTATAGAAACCTCTGTAATCAATTAACCTGTTTTATTCAAAAGACAGTGATGAATGGACCTTCATCTTTCCTAAGTAAAGTATGTCAATAAAGAAATTAACTGGTGGCAGCGTGTGAAAAGGTGGGGTTTTTTGTTTGCCTTCATGAGCTCTGTTTTGGGGAGACAAACAGGGGCCACTAAGGGGCAAACGTCACAGGGGACAATGTTTTATAGCTGGTATTTTGGAGACATAGGCAGTTTGGGCATGATGTTCAGGCTGGGGTGGGTGTGGGAGATGACATACAAAAATGAGGCACAATTATTTTAATGTGGAAGATCTGATGCTAGTCATG